GCATGATCGCAGCCGAACAGCGTCTGAAGGATGCTGGATATGGAGAGAAGTTTTTGTTCACTCCACAAGACGATGATGATGAGGATATGCAGTTGAAAATGGACGATGAGGTGAAGGTGGCACCATGGAATACGACGCGCGCTTATATCCAAGCCATGAAAGGAAAGTGTCTACTGCAATTGGCAGGTCCAGCTGATCCAACTGGCTGTGGCGAAGGTTTCAGTTATGTTAGAGTACCGAATAAACCGACAATTAGCAAGGTTTGTTCTGACAAATATCTATCAAAAATGTTGTTATCTAGAATAGAATAAATCATAAGATGTTTTGTATAGGAGGAACAAGAAGCTCAACCAAAAAGAACTGTAACTGGCACAGACGCGGACTTGAGGAGATTGTCCTTGAACAATGCGAAAGCGTTGTTGCGAAAATTTGGTGTACCCGAGGAGGAGATCAAAAAGCTATCGCGTTGGGAAGTAATCGACGTGGTTCGAACTCTATCGACAGAAAAGGCAAAGGCTGGCGAGGAGGGAATGACAAAGTTTTCACGTGGCAATCGTTTCTCCATCGCCGAACATCAGGAACGTTACAAAGAGGAGTGCCAACGAATCTTTGACTTACAGAATCGCGTGCTATCTTCGAACGAAGTATTGAGCACGGACGAGGGTGAGAGTTCGGAAGAAGACAGCTCGGATATCGAGGAAATGGGTAAGAATATCGAAAATATGTTATCAAACAAAAAGACCAGTACGCAGCTATCACTGGAGCGGGAGGAACAACAGCGGCACGAGTTACGAAAGATGCTCATGGGCGAGGCGCAGGAACAAGAAAGCAAAAAAGGCAAGGAGAGTAAAAAGAAGGATGAGGAGGAGGACAGTCCGGTTAACAATTTCAATGCACAGCAGGGACGTGTGTTAAAGATTTACCGCACTTTCCGTAATCCTGAGGGCAAGGAATACACGCGAGTTGAGTTAGTGAGGAAACCTGCTGTAATCGACACATACCTTAAGATCCGCAACTCGAAGGATGAAACATTCATCAAGCAGTTTGCCACATTGGACGAGGCACAGAAAGAAGAAATGAAGCGAGAAAAGCGTAGAATTCAGGAACAATTGCGACGAATCAAGCGAAACCAAGAGAGAGAGCGTATGTTGGGTGGGCCATCTGTAGTGAACGGCAACAACATCAATAATTCGAGCAACATATTTGATCGCAGCAATATTAACACTTCATCTACCACTTCCTCAACTAGTATCCTTCCATTCTGTAATTTCCAATCTTCTAATTCTTCTATCCCAGCGTCCAAACATCCTAAAACGGAAATATCTCCTCCTAAGCGTAAAAAACCTAAACTCAAACCAGATCTAAAGCTTAAGTGCGGTGCTTGTGGCAACGTTGGTCACATGCGTACGAACAAAGCATGTCCGCTTTATCAAAACAGTATCGCCATTGCACCAGTCAACGTCGCGATGACCGAAGAACAAGAAGAGGAAATCGAGAAGCAGCTAAATACTGATGATCAAGATCTGGTCAATGTTGATGGCACCAAGGTGAAGTTATCCTCAAAACTTATCAAGGTAAGTTGATATTGAAGCACTAAATTTAAATTATGCAATCCATATTCATATATGTGATCCAAGAATCTAAAGAGTAATAAAAACTTTATTTATTTTAGCACGCCGAGGAGATGAAGAGGCGTACACTATTACTTAAAGTGCCGAAGGAAGCGGTAAATTCAAAGAAACGTAGAAAACTACACACAGATGATCATTGTGATTATTTGAAACGCCATCAAAGGCCAGTTAACAGACGTAGAACTGATCCAGTTGTAGTAATGTCTACAATGTTAGAGAGCATTTTGAATGAAATGAGAGATCTGCCAGATGTGCAACCGTTCCTGTTTCCAGTCAATGCTAAAGTAAGTGATATTTTAACTCGTGAGATTAAACACTAAAAAACCAATTGTAAATTAAATAAAAATGAAATTAAAATTTAGCTTTATGTAACTATAAATTTATGTATGTATAACAAAAATATCTTGAAAAACATCAAAGAACACTGTTTTACGAATATTGATATCGTTCTATGTTCTTTTTTTTTTTATCAGGTAGTCCCTGATTATCACAAGATCATACAGCGACCCATGGATCTGCAGACCATACGTGAAAATTTGAGGCTAAAGAAATACCAAAACAGGGAGGAGTTTTTGGCGGATGTTAATCAGATTGTGGAGAACTCGACGCTCTATAACGGAGCAAAGAGTTCATTGACTGTGGCCGCCAAGAGAATGTTGGATACGTGTGTCGAGAGGCTTGGCGAAAAGGAGGATCGTTTGATGAGACTGGAGAAGGCCATCAATCCTCTTCTGGACGACAATGATCAGGTTGCTCTCACTTTTATCTTAGATAACGTTGTCAACAATAAGCTGAAATCTATGACAGAAGTATGGCCGTTTATGAAACCTGTCAATAAAAAGATGGTGAAGGATTATTATAATATTGTCAAGAGACCGATGGATCTAGAAACAATATCTAAAAAAGTTTCTGGTAAGAAATTAAGTGTTTATTAATAATATATATATATATTATATATATATATATATATATATATATATATATATATAACAAAAAATGTAT